ACGTTTCAAGGAACTGGCTCTCGTCTTCAGGTGATTTCTTGTCGTACTTACAGGCTTATCAGTTGTTGGTGATGATAATGTCAACGACTGGCTTCGAAACCAGGACATTTTTTAATAATATCTAAAAACAGCCAGGCTCCGAAACGTCGAGTTCAATCAAATATATACCTCAGACAATAGGCATTATCAATAATACTCGTATCACCTAACAGTAACTGTGATCAAATCGAGACTGGAGGGGAGGGTCAGATCATGTAGCACGCAAAAGACGTGAGAACTACACAATTTTTGTCTGGAAGTCGGGTGGAAAGAGAGTACTTAGACGAATTAGGCTCAAATGGGAGGATAATATTAATCTTGATAAGTTAAATAGGATATGAAGATGCTTCTTCATCTGGCTCAAGATGGGGTCCATTGGAGGGCTTTTGTAAACACGGTAGTAAACCTTATTGACTCGTTGAGCAACTATTAGCTTCTCAATAAAGACTCTGCTCCATGGAATTAAGTTAGTTTTTCGTAAACTGATATTTGAGTTTCTTTGTCATTAGTAACATCCTTCCACAATCAGAAAGGAATCAGTTTTTACTGTGCGAATATTGTATTCAGTTTTATATATTGTTTTAATAAGGGCAACTGAATGACGTCTGAATAAAATAACGTTTACGTATCTTATTATATTACATATGCTGTGAATTACGTCAAAGGACAGAGATTTGAGATTCTCAGCTGTGAAGGTACCGGTATTTGTCTTCTGGGTTGTAGCCTCGTGTGGACTTGTTAGTACATACTTATGACGTTATAATCTATTACCACTAAAGATTATATCAAATTAGAGAAAGCACTACGTTTTTCGGTCTGCTAGTATTGCAGCACGTGATTTCATAGGTCACATACGTCACAGGGGCTTCTCAAATTTCACGTACTGTAGATACCAATGTTTCGTAGTAACATACTGTCTCCATCTTCGCGTTACAACACCGAAGATTAACATCAATGCTTGAAAGTATGATTCGTGTAAGAAACGAATGAGACGATATTAAAACCTCAAGTGTATTTGTGAAGATATAACAAAAAGACAGACTGCTGGGAGGACTGTCAATGCTATTATAATCGACGCGTATGACGTATTCTGCGAAATTAATGCAATCTATGGGTGGAACCCAAATGTAGCAAGTAATGCACATATATATCGGTCAGGTTTATAAATTAAGTCCATCAAGACGAAACCTCAGAAATACCAAAATGTATAATGTAAATTATGTCGTATAACTGTTTGAAATGAGAGAGCAAATTTATTACACAACGTGGGTAATGCTGTAAGTTAAACATGTGACGGAAATTCAGATACACATTACATTGACTAGAGAACACGCCTGTTGACAGTAAAAGTTCTAATGTTGTGTACTTATGTAAATATAAATAAATAACATGACTCCTGAATACTGTAGTTGAGAGTTTTATTTACACATAATTAAAAAGATATAAACAACACACGAGAGAGAGTGTCTGTGTGTGTTATTTTGCGGCGACATTTAGATTCCAAATAAATCATCGGTGATGAAGGAATACATCTATGTCAAGATATCTTCGGCTGCAAACTTCTTGTTCTTATTCTTCAGATTAGCTCTGCTATAAAAGGGCTAGTCAGATGTACAAGGCCAAAAATTCTAAAGCCGAAGTCAGTCTCCAGAGCTGTGCATACAGCCTTCTTAACATTCCTATCAGAGTTGATTAAAATTACTTCTTACGACTACACCACATTTATTTGTATAAATTTAGCTATGATTTATCGATTTTCAAATACGAGGCCATGTTACACGAGTTTAAGTACATTCCTATCAAAGAATGTGGAACTAACTTCAGATAAAGGATAAATAACACTTATTTTCAAGTTTCCTTACCCCAGAGTAGGTTCAACTTTGCTTTATGTAACTAACAAAGACGAAGCGAGAGCGTATTTTAAAGTTAGAAACGACTAACCACTCTCGTTTCACTGGAGCTTACTATCGATTACGTACCACAAATATCGAAAAGAAGAACAATCGACTCCATCGAGAATCGAAATCAGTAACACATGTAGGTACATGCTTCTAATGCACTTAGGACCGGATACATTTCATCACAGATTAATTAGATCGTTTTGTGGTTTTATTCACCTCGCGTAAACACTAGCACAATTTTTAATATGTTTCAGAAGAATTTACTTTCTTACTGGTGAGGCTAGCAAGAACTATATCTGAGTAATGATAATATTTAATGGTCAACGTACAGGCACACAGTTCCTATAATTTCCACTGGTGCAAATTCCGAGTAATCCCAGACTACAAAGAATACTCCACGCATTTAGAAACAGCTGGTCTCAACAGTTTCTTTTAGTGCAAGACCACGGGTACTCGGAATAAATCCTGAAATACCCGAGTGACAACCAACTTAAAAGTCTATTCGACATCATCGATGCTGAGAAACCCTTAAGAATATCTGAGTTGTTCCCTTCTTGACAGGATATCCAGGCACTTAACCTTCATTTTATTAAACAGATTTTCATGTCAGGTCACAGTACAACTACACAAGGTGTTTACAAATCTTTACCAACCAGAATTTTTTTCCGACTGACAATTTTCCCGCTCAGTGAAAACACACCTAACGACATAAGACAACTGAATATACAACGCTGATACATTTCCTGTTTATAGAGGTTTAAAACAACGGAAATTCTTAGATTTCGCTTAGAATATTGGCATAATTTCCTTCCATCAATATCTTTCAAAATTCCTATTCGGATTCTTTCTGACTCTCTTGCAGAGCAATGTTCAGAATCCAGAAGCTGTGACAGCCCAGTGGATATATGGACCAGGTTAGGGTTCGATTCCAGGCAGGGTTGTAATTTTCTGTACGCCACAACTTCCAGTCAGGCTCAGGGATCCTACCAGCCTTGTATCCAGTAAATAATGGAAGCCTTTGCTCGGGGTTAAGGCAGCCGGAGCGTAAAGCTGGCCACTCACTTCCTTCTAGTGCCAAGGTTAGGAATCTGTTCAGTTTTGCCACCACGTCCCCACAGGCTAGAAAAAATTGTGTTCAAGCATAAGGGCTATTTGGTTGAAAATCGGCACATGTCCTCCTTCTATATTATTATTATTTATAGCTGATAATATAATACGCCTCCTATTAGCTGGTTGTGAGCGTCTCGTATCCTCAGAATTTTAATTTTAAAGTTTTATAATAGGCCGCCTTCTCCTTCCAGCAAGTGGAGAGATCTTCAGCAAGTGAAGTGTTACCTCTTAATTAAACTTCCGACGAACATGCAAAATTTATTAAAATCACAAGTACCGTCATATTGTGATATAATATCATATTTATTATTCGAGTTTTATAGAAGCGAAGGCATCTGGCGATGATAAAAAATAACAATTTGCTTCGCAGGTTCCGTGGTTACCGTGTTATATAGGACACCACAATATCTTCTGAGCTTTCTGTTTTATTCCGTGGTGTTTGGTGGCAAAGTGGCCCAAAGACACTGTTTCCTTGAAACAGTATAAAATTATGAGGTCACTTCCTTAAGGCTGCCTGCTAGTACATCAGCAAGCCAGTGAGGGGTCGAAAAGTCTTGTGGAGGTACAAATTTGGAATGTCTGTCACCGGAGCTGCATTAAAAATTAACACATTTAAACCAAATTTCGAAATTGTCTGGTGTTATTAAAACGCAGATATTTACCTATTTTATTTATTAGATGGTATAGTTGCGTCATATTGTGAAAATATATTTAATTAATTATTCTTGTCCGTCTAATCACAATTTAAAATTTTTAAAATTAAAATTAAAATTAAGATAATTAAAATATCATGTGATGTTCCTATCGAAACATTCGATGTTCTAAATGAACATCGAATGTTTCGATAGGAACATCACATGATATTTTAATTATCTTAATTTTAATTTTAATTTTAAAAATTTTAAATTGTGATTAGACGGACAAGAATAATTAATTAACTATTTTATTTAGTCTTAGTCCACATAGGACCATACTAAACGTCATCTTATGTGAAAAGTTCTATATTTTAAAATTAATTTCATATGATAAGAAAGTGGTAAAATTTTTGAACCCTTTGACGGATTTTCATGAAACAATATATTTTTCTGTGCCAACCCCGAAACTGAAGCGACAATAACTCCACAAATGCCACGTTCTAGCTATTTTGTTTGGCGATATAGATACAAAAAATAAGCAACTTTTCCTAAGGTAGGCCTAATAATCTACATCGTAAAACATGGCGATTTCAAGAAATTTATATTTAGCTTTCAGTTTCATATCTGAGCCAATCGTGTGAATCTTTGCTTAGAGACGGATTTTGAACGTATCTATAAATCCGTTTAAGAAACGATTTTAGTAGGCCTTTATTTATTTATTTAGTGTTCTGTCTGACGACAGGTCCATATGAACAGGATCCTTCCATCCTTTCCTTTTCTCGGACTGGGACCTGTTCATATACGTTCTTGGCAGATGATCCAGAAGTGGTTTGCCATTGCCTTCTTCTGTGTGTGAATGGAGTAATTGTTGGGATGCCAAGGAGAAACCGGGGAAGCCCCCGGAGGAAAACCTCGTGTTGCCTAGACCACGGCCTTGCCCAACACAAGTTACAAATTTGGGCACCGCCGGGAATCGAACCCGAGACCCCATGATTACAAGGCCAGCGTTAGTAGGCCTATACATGAACAATTACAAAGATGGCGCTGGCGTACATTTTGGGGTTACCTTGGATGTATTTAACATATAATTAAAATCTGTAGTAATGGTAACTGCGCCACCTAATGTGTCATTAATTGCACAATAATAAATTTATTACGATAAAGATTGAATAATTTGAAGAAAATATGGCGTAAACTTTATGGTTGGCTCATAGCAACAAATAATCTGCATATTTCACACCATTTTGCATAAGAAATGCATTACCCGAAAGTTAGTCTACATCCTATAATAGTCTATGGACCCTATAACCTACGAACTCCACGACGCACGTTGTTCCTTTGATCAACCACTGATCACCTACTAAAGATAAGAGATTTGAGGTATGATTCCCCGAGAAGTTAGTATTTACCGTAAGTCTACAAGACACCACAGCACAGAAAAAACAATTTCGAAAAATATTTAAACCATTCCCTGCTTCTACAGAACACAAAGTTTCGCAGCATCGTTCACAGGAGTCGTCAGTGGAATCTATATTGATCAATCAAATCCGGTCCACATCTTACTACCGTGAAATCCATTTTAATGTTATCCGTATATTATTTATGTGTTTATTTAAATGGGCTACGATTAGAATATATGCCTGCGGCCGTTGTGAAAATTAAAATATATCTTAATGCGTCAAAATATAAAAACCCGTCCCTTAATAATTTTGGGGGGAAATTGTTATGTAACAGGTCTCTCGTTTTATTTATCGAGCATTAGAGATCCTTGGAGAACCGAAACCATATTCCTAAACCTAAAATAGACTTTAATTATTGTCGCCCTCGCCCCTCAGGCTCTGCAGAAAGTTTTCATATTTGTGGGTTGGGCCACTTTTGGTAACAGTCTTTTATGCATCTCAGCCCAGAAGAGGAGGGAGATAAAAACTTAAAAAGACTAATAATAGAATAAAAGAACCGTCATATATAGACCCTTTATTCAATATTCATCCTCTTCAATTTTTATTACAATAACAGCACACATTTTTATTCTTTCCCCCACTACTAGCATCCTACTCACTGAAATGAGGAAACAATTTTTTACTGGAGCGAAAAGGCACAAGGCGGGGGCAGAATTTATTATGCCGCGGAATCTGCATCCTCAGTCTGTATGCATATTATAAAACGAGCTCACAAACATGAGGCAGTAATGCGAAAACGTTACAGATATTGTTACTCAAGTGTCTCCGGGCCTCACCTCATCTCCCTTCCTTCAGACTCATTTTTATTCTCTACTCTTGCGGTCTTGTTCCAAAAAGATTCAGAAAACTAATAACTTGTACTGAATCAGCTTGCTAATGTGGGAGAAGACGAGCGGGCCTACGTTTTATTTCCAAACCGATTTAAACTGGAGCTCGTTTGTGTCATTTTAAAATTGAAACCAGAGAATACGGTGACGACTTGAGGCCTACGTACGTAATGACTAATTTATTTTGCTAATATTATAATCAATACTCATGCGAATATAATTGAAATTAATCCCTTTTGACACAGAAGACTTAAATTAATGGTTAATTAATTTAACCTGACCTAACCTAACCTTCTTGAGAACCTAATAATTATTTAACCTTACAAGTCGAGAAATTTCATACCGTTTATAGACCCCCCTGGGTACATTGCAGCGTCCGCGACTAGACACTATCCCGAGCCAGAAAAATCCATTTCACATCCTATGTCTCTAAGATACATTTTAATATTATCCTTCGATCTACACCTTTCTCTCCGAATTTCTCTCCTTCACTGAGATTTTCCCACTTATTAGGCTACTTAATGATCTGACACATATTTAAGCGAATAAATATAAATACATTTCTCATATTCAGCCTTTAATGAAACGTGAGATTTCTTTGGCTTAGTTTATACAGTTACTTATAAAGACTACATTTATTAATTCCTTTAAATGCTAGTAGAAGTTTAAAACAATTTGACAAACAAAACTTTTATTCTTCAATAAAACAGATAGGCCTAATTAATTGAAATTTGCATTTTATTTGAATTTTTCGTCATAATAGCAAATATTTCGCATTGTCTTACAGACTCAAGTTCAGTGTAAATAGGCTCACGTATACATTACATTCAGCTACCTTTTCATTGCAGAGTGTTTACACCGCAAAAGATCGAGCTTTGCATTTAACTGTTCGTATTTGCAACCACATGCTGGCTAATTCCCTAATTCCCGCTTCCACGGTTCATCATCCCCTAGACTGGAGAAATAGGCGCTTCACTCTCATGTCTCCCAGACCAGGACACACATTCACCCTCAACCACCCTTATCCAATGCAGAGAATAAAAGCCAACAAGCTACAAAGCCAATATTGTCATGAAGCTCCTCCAACCCCTGCATCACCAACTACCCTTATAATATACGTTTCAGCAGATCTAACAAGGTGGATATTTATTAGACTAAAGTATCAGTAACGGGTGAAAAGGGACGGAAGATGATAATACTGTCTACGGAGTGGGGCTGGCGTCTGGTTCTGTATAAATGTAACAGGGAACCAACTGCAGAAAACCAAAATGCGTAAACCTTAACTACATGAACTCCGCAACAATATAAACACTGCGTTCGTTTAAATATTATCCTCCCGTTTGCGCCTGTGGACTCTTCCTTCCAGTCTTCAAAATCGAAATTTTGTGTGCATTTCTCATCTCTCTCCCATCGTTTCAACATTACGTGGTGAAGAATACAAATTACGTAGTTCGTCAATATTAAGTAGTCTCCAGTCTCTCATTTCGTCCTTTTTAGGTACAAATATCATCAGCACCCCCGTTCTCTGGAAGCCCTCAACCTGTGGTCTTCCCTTAAAACTAGAGACCAAGTTCTACACCCATAAAAACAACAGGGGTATATAATAATACCATAATTTTTTAATTAGATTCAGTAGGCTATATAACAAAACATTTCGTAAGAAAAACTGGATTAAAATTATTATAATCATTACCATTATTCATTCATTAATTTAGAGAAGTCACCAAATATTATTACGGGGATTAAATCAGACAGGATTTGACAGCAATGAACCTACGAATCCCATTAGATACAGAAAATTAGTAATGAAATGATTAGGAAATTAATCAAGTTTCATAAAATTCCTACCATTTACCATAAAGACAACCTTATATATACCACATTCTTTAACATTCAGTAATGCCGAATTTGTTCACACAGTGTATTTATAGGTTTCGTGTGATTCTCAGAATGAATGGCGATTTATATCCTTAAACAGGGTTAACCAGCTGATCTTCGTAACATCGCCTCGGTATGAAGTGGATGTTCATAGACGAACTTCGTGTTTCAGAGGGTGAAAAGCCCGGGAAACATAATGAAAATCCTAT